TGCTTTACGAGGGGATCCGACTGCATGGCATATCCCAAAGGACATGTTGGGGGTGGGGGGCAGCAGATCCACATTGTGGCGGCGCGATGAAACCGGCATTGCAATTGATATCGCGTGTGTGGTATGAATGTAAGGACCTATATGAAGAACAAGAGCTGCTACGTTATACTCTATGTGGCGGTGATAGGGAAGGCGTGGGCGTGGCTGCGTAAGCGTTTTTCATGGGATTTTCCTGTTTTAGACAACAACCACCCAGTCTTGAGCAGGAAAAGTTGTGACTACACTTGCCCCTGAGAGGTAATATCCTTATAGAAGCGCAGTCACGGCACACTTAGAGGAAGCCACGCCCTCCCCATCTCCGTGATATGGAGTGTATGTCAGGTCAGCTAACTAGGGAGTGTTAGCTAGTTTCCTCGTGTCGCCACAAGTTGGATGTTCTGGCTCACTACTTCGAAAAAGAGGTAGGGGGGCGGGAGAGGGGACTGGGGAAGCTGACCTACGGTCCGAATGGTCTGATGGTTTCGCATAACCTTTTACATCTGAATAGGACCCCTGGGATCAGAACTGGATGAAGTGTTTTCATTGAGATGTTACAGTTGGTTTCACTGCAGACGCTGGGGCTTGTCAAGGAGGTGAGGTTGACGCGGCGCCGGCCCGTTCTCCATCATTTGTTGAACCGGGCAGCGACAACAATTGGTGCAAAACGGTCTGGCGCTGCGCCGAGCCCAGCTCCCCCGTCACGGGCCGACGTCTGCAACAAAGCCGATTATATACGTTGATTTCAGAAACTGGCGGAGAAACATGCGATTCCGATGCACCCTCGTTTGTCAAAAGCGCCATCGGAAATGTCGGTCAGTGCTTACCAAATCTCATTTTCATCCTGCTAATTGAAATCAATATTTTGAAGTGACTTTCCTCCCAAAAGTTGTATTCATAGGTCCTAATCCCCTTGCTGGAAGTGAATTCAAAGCCATCAGTATTGTTTACGAAACGATCCATTCATTTGAAGAGTCACCGAGGTGAAGTGTGCTTCCCAGGTGGTAGAATGGAAAAGGGAGAATCTATCGAACAAGTTAGTCCATTCTAGTTTTTCTACAGATCAGGAGCACAGAGTTCTAATTTTGAGCTTCATTTTGAAATTTTAAGTCGTCTTCACGCCGTACCACGTCACTTCATAAGACCTAGCCATAATTTACTTTAAACCATCATTTTGCAAACTATCAAGCTTATCAATACATCCTGAATATTTTTGAATA